ATTAATGGTTAGACAAAGAATTTTATAAAGATGTATTATTACTGGATGAATTTAGGATGATGTAATGAAATTCTGCTGTCATAATATAAATTTACCTAAAATGTAGAATATCTCACATAAAATGAAGTAATGAAAATTATAGTCAAATAAATGTATAATAATGATAATAATTATATACATATATATCAGATTGATAATACGAGATTCTGTATAAAGTGTAAGTGGAGACTATGGTGAGAATGTAAAAAAAGGTTTTGTAACCAATTGACACACTGTATGGAATTGGAAGATGTTTTTATGTTTTACGTTTGTACTTGTTTGTTTAAAAATTAAAAAAATGTTTTTTTTAAGAAATACTTTCTTTCAAAAGAAATAATTTGTATTCCATGAATGCTCACAATTATATATCTCTGAATTCCTTCTTGAAGTAAATTCTCATACATTTCATTTTCCTGTGCACTGCTTGGAGAGTCCATGCATGGGTTAAATTAGTCTGGTTGCCCTAGGACTGAGGAATCTTTTTCCTTGGCCATGCCTTCTGGTCCTCAATGAAAGATTTTTTTCCTCAATCTGGCCTGTTAAGGATTGCATTTGTGAGCTTCAGCTTTAATTTATCTTTGGCTTGGACTCTCTTCTTAGAAATTTTTTCCTCTCTTTTTCCTTGTTTGCCTATTTTTCATTCCTCTAGCATTAGGTATTTTTTCCCTTTTCCTTCGACTTTCCAGCTTCTGTTAGCTCACTTGAAGTAGGAACGTGGGGGTGCTCCGCTGACTGTGCCGCTCGAGGACAGCAGCGGAGATCCGTCTGGCAAGTTTGCTCTTCCTGGCGGGCAGCACAGCTCTTGGTGGCTGCCAGGAGCAGGCGGAGGTTCGACTTTTGAATTTTCGGCTTGCTGCCTTGCTGCGGAGAAGTGTGTGGCTGCCTTTTAAGCTTGCAGCCGCCATTTTCTTTTCCTTCCCCCTCACTTCAAGCGGGGGCCATTTTTAATAGGGGTTTTTCACACTCTTTTTAACACTTGCATTGCCGCTTTTCTGATTCCCTGCAGATCGCTGTCGAGTGGCCAGCTGACCCTGTTCAGGGCTCCAGCAGGTTCGCTGCCACTCATTATCAACCTTTCTGGACACCTCTGGTTTCTTTGGCCACCTAAGGGTCATTCACTGGCACAGAGAGGGTTGAAGTATCTTTTTCTGCCCCTCTCTGATCGATCTGCTAGACTGTGCAACCTCCTTGGTTCGTGATCCCCTAATTGATATTCCTCACTTGTGTGACTGATTGGATTCCTTCCTGCCTGCCTAACGACTCCAGATGCAGCAGACGTTCCTAGTCATTCAGCCAGCTTTATTTCATAGCTACCTGATCCAAATTCATTTCATCTCCTTTGTTTGGATCTAGATGGCTGAGTCTTCTGCTTCTGCAACTACGGAACAGCCTGGCACATCTTCCACCTACCAAGGTAGACTGGGCCCCTCTAAGACCCTAGTCAGGCCAAAGCCCCAAGCGAGGACAGTAAGACTAGGCAGGGCGGCGGTTACAGGCAGTCATCCCTACCAATCATCCACAGCTGCAGATAGGGATGCAGAACGCGGGCAAAAAACTCAGGGAAAGCAATTTGAAAATCCACAGCACCAGGTAGCAAAGACCAATCTGCAGACCACAGTCCTGGTTGAGTTGGGCTCTTCCCCCTCCCCCATAAGGGACATTTTATGGGTCATTGAGGAGGAGGTAGAGTCATAGGATTTGTCACCCGACAATTCCTTGGTGGATCCTGAGTCCCCCGACCCTCTGTTGCATTGGACCCTGGGCCAAGGCACACGGCTCACCAGCAGGGGTGGGCTCCACCCACAAACTCTGAGAGTCATGGATGCCCATTGAGGATCAGGGGCCCGAACTATCAGCCCTTATGCAAGCAGTTATTGCCAGGGACATTTCCTAGGGCATAGCCGAGGGGCTCCAGATGAGGATCAGGTTCCCGATAAACAGGCTCTGTCCGGATCCAGCAAGGAAAATGCTGGCACTAGCCACAGGGAATCTTCTCTGGAATCTTCCATGATTAGTGAGGTCTCTGTCTTGGAGGACCCAGATCAGGAGGAGCAGGAGCTCTCAGAGAATAAAGATCTTCCTCTGGATGCCCCCGCCTTCTCCGGCCTTTTCAAGCCCAGCTTGTTTAAATCCATCTTACATAAGGCCAAGGCCATCACTCAGCTGGGTACTAAACCTCAAGCAGGCCTGAGCGCTTCAGACTCAGCTGCCTCCAACCCTAATGAGAACATGGTACAAGTCCCTCCACAGGACCTTGTTCCTGTTCCCAGCCTCTTCATGGACATAGTTCAGCAATGGGTCCAACCCAGTTCCCTAGCCACGCCCAGTGTTGGGGACAAGAAGCTATATTCGGTGGAACCAAATCTAGAGGACATCTTGTCCTTACCATCTGTAGATCCCTGATAGCTCTCACCTCCAATTTGGTCCTTCTGACAGATCTGATGGAAGGCCTCAAGGCGGAAGACAAGAGGGTGGAGAAGGCATGAGACAAAACCAATTTAGCAATGGCCTGGGCCATTAAGGCATCTTCCTCTGACTCATTTTTTAATAGGGTATCCATCATTTGGCTATGCAATCTACAGTCTAAATTCCCAGCAGATAATACACATCTATGTCAGGATGTGACCAAAATCATTGCTGCAGCCCAATATTCAGCCAACATTTCTCTTAACGTGGCGAAGTTCGCCTTGGGGGAACTAGCCTCCAATGTAACTTTGAGGCACCTTATTTGGCTTTGTCATAGGCAGGCTGACCAGAAGGCCAAGTGGAAGCTTACTTCTGCTCCCTTTAAAGGGACCAAGTTGTTTGTAGAGATGTTAGACCCTTTCCTAATTGAATCTAAGGATAAGCGAAAAATCCTTCCTATACTAAACAAAAAGCAGGACCGCAAGTCCACTCCCTATTTCAGGAGGCAATCCTTTCATGCGAATGACTCCTCGTTCAACTCCTCCTCGACCAACAGGCCTACTAATCAGTCATAAGACAGGTCCAAGAACAGGCAGTCCTTTTGGGACAGGGGTAGGCAGCAGTTCAATTTTTGCAGATCCAACTATGGTGGAGGCTCCCACAGGCCCTTCCGCCAATTCAAGTGACCACTAAGGGACCCCTCCCATAGGGGGACAACTCCAAATCTTCATCTTTCAATGGGAACAGACCATGGAGGATGCCTGGGTCTGCAGTCCATGAGGGAAGGACTCTCACTAGAGTTCATCTCACACACCCCAAGGAATTTCATCCGAAGCCCCACCCCCTCTTGTCTGCTCAAGAGAGAGCTCATGATCCATCATCTCTTAGAGATCAATGCCATAGAGCAGGTCCCATCCAACCAGGAGTGGAGGGGATTTTATTCCATCCTCTTCCAGGTACCCAAGAGCATGGCGGTGGTGGTGGGCAGTACTGGACCGGAAGAACCTCAATTTCCATCTTGCATACAAAAGGTTCAAAATGCAATCCCTGCAGGGATTTGCCAAGGGGACCGCCTAACATCCATAGATCTAAAGGAGGCATACTACACATCCCAATTTGGCGACTGTACCGAAGGTTCCTGCGGTTCTTCTACGCGGGCTGACATTATTAATCAGGGCACTGCCATTTGGCCTGTCGTCGGCACCCAGGACCTTCAGCAAAATTCTGTCAGTAGTCGCAGCGCACCTCAGGCGCAGCCCTGTAAGGCTCCAATGTTACCTGAATGACATACTCATCCAGTTGTTGTCCAGGAAACAGGCCTTGTGGGACCTTCAGGTCACCATGCGGTCCCTCCAGATCCATGGGTTCTCTGTGAACCTGGAGAAAAGTCATCTCTCACTGACCACCAAACTCCTCCACCTGGGGGCAGTAATCAACACTTCCATCTGCAGAGTGTTTCTCTCCCAGGACAGGATAGGCAGCATAGGCTCCCTAGTCCACAAGGTTCAGGGTTTGAGGTAGGTCCCTGTGCTGCTCATCTCGCAACTGTTAGGGAAGATGATCTTGTGCATCTCGGTAGTTCCCTAGGCATGACTCCACTCCTGAGAGAGAGATCCAACAGAAGCAACATGAAGATTCAACTGCCACCAGCCATGAAGAGATCCCTCAGATGGTGGTGATCAGTCAGACCACTCTTCTATTATTTTTTTATTCTTTCAAATATTTTATAAAGTAAGAGTTGATTTTATGGACACTGTGAATTTGTGGTAAAAATATATAGCAAACCAATTGTAATTACAAACATTTTTGCAAATAAATTGTTTCTTCCATAGTAACAATAACTTCAGTTGAATTATTCTTTGTCTTCATAGAAACAGTCCTGCCCATCTCATCTTTATCACCAAAGAAGTTATAAATTATTTTCACAGGGAAGACATAAAAAATGAAATATTTAAGATGCCAGCTGTTGCTTCCATTTTTGCATAGAAGCAGGGGATATGATTATTCCTATTTATTAAACCTAATGTGTAGCTCAAGGATGGGCAAACTATAGGCCTTGTATTCCCCAACAATTATTTTGCACTACCAGACCATTTCCAGAAAATTTTATCCAAATTAAGTGAATGGCATAAGGTGGACATTTTTGTTAAAATAATTAAAAATATATACATAAAGCTATGCCAAGCACTAATATGCCAGTTTTGCCAATTAAACCCTTCAGATAGATTAAAGTTTTGATTTTATCTCTTTTCTTCATACAATCACATTATGCAACATGAATCCTGCCATTCAAATACATGAAAAAAAAGAAACACAAAATAGCTTCCTAGTCCTGATTCAGGCAATTAAAAAAAAAAATTAAATGTTTGTGGAATAAAAAAATATTTTTATGTGTTTTCAAGTCATAGGCAGACAGATAAAGGATTTTCTCTCCAAAAGATCTTTTAAAGTTCATTAGTTAGGAGAACTCTGGAGGGCTGATTATACTTTAAATGTGCATACAGTTTATCTCTTCTTCTTCTTCTCTTTCTTCTTCACCTTCTCTCCAATTGTAGGGGGAAATTTGCAGTAGTAAAGAAATGTATAAACAAACAGACTGAAAAAGAGTTTGCAGCAAAATTCATGAGGAAAAGAAGAAAAGGCCAAGACTGTCGAATGGAAATAATTCATGAGATTGCAGTCCTGGAACTGGCACAATCTAATCAATGGGTTATTAACTTGCATGAAGTATATGAGACACCAACAGAAATTATTTTGGTTTTGGAATAGTAAGTAATACCTTTTTATGCCTTAGTATAGCATGTTTGGGCTTTTAATATGTGTTTGGTGAAATAACTTCAGTTTCCCTCTAATTTATTTTGATTTTATCCTGCTTTATCTCTGGAGCTCTGAACCACATCCATGAAACAAGCAAAATGAATAAAGAACATGGGAGAGGATCATATGAATAAGGTTTCAGCTTTGGAGCAGAAAATTATGTCAAAAATATTAGAGTTTACTAATAGTAGAAGCAAAGTACCCCAGATAAATGATTTGGATTCTTTTTTTTCTAATATTTCTATTACGTTTTAGATGGAACAATAAAAGATAAATTCAAGCTAAAAAGAAGAAAGGGAATAAAGTGTGTATATGTGTGTGTACCCTCAAAAATGCAACTTCCCACCCTCATCATGACAAATAAAAACAATTTCATAATCTCACATTCTCTTAATTAAAAAATGTAACACTCTTCATTTTACAACCTGTTAACAATAAGCAAATTAAATAAATCTTTTCCAATCCAATTATCAGCAAAAAACTTAGAACTCTAAAATATTAGAATTAAGTAGCTGATTGATTGCTGTTAGTATAAAGGAGTTTCCCCTTTTCTCTCCTTTTGTGTGTGTTCTGTATACTATTTAATTTACCTCATGATATTCCTGTGTTCCTGACGTGCTTATCTGGTTTACTTAAATTATTTTAACAGCGGAAGGATTAAAGCAAACTGATTATTTGGTTAACTTTTATTTTCAGAACAATTGTATTTTAAAGATTAGGGATATGTGATTTAACTTCTTATGCACACATAAAAGCTACATTTGTTGTAGAAGCTTATTTATAATTCTTCAATTTTTATACAAAAAAGTATTAAATATAGTAGCTGAGTTCCCTCTTACTAAACTGAAGTGTAAACATTATATATGGTAATCCAAGAACCTAAACAATAAAATATTTTACTTAAATAGTTTATGGTGGTTGCTATAAAACTAACTTACTTCCAAAGGCGGTTTGGTTAATTCTACCTTTGCTGGCAGGCAAATATATATTTTATTCAGTTCTTCTGATGTTAAAATTTATTTGCTGTTGAATTTGGTCTAATCTGTTTTGAGTTCCATGGATATATTTTTATTTGAATTTTAATATTTTCATTGAAATGTTTTAACTTATTAAAATTATCTTAAGCATAATTTTAATACAAAGATGAGATATAAATGTAATTAATAGTGACTAATTGAAAATTATATACAAATATTCTTATTTTCAGTGCTGCTGGTGGAGAAATCTTTGACCAGTGTATAGCTGAAAGAGAAGATGCCTTCAAAGAAAAAGATGTTAAGCATCTCATGAGGCAGATTTTACAAGGAGTTTCCTTTTTACATCAAAACAATGTAGTTCATCTTGACTTGAAGGTGAGATAATAATTCTGAAGAATTGAAGCAAAATTAAGAATTCTGATTGCTTATTTTGAAGAACACATTGTGACATCTTAGAGGTTTTGATTTTTGGTGAAAAAGACTTTTCTGCCTATTTAGGAAATTACTTCTACTTCTGCCAAACTGTTCTTCAGTTGTCCCAAGTATGTATTGCAGGTTATTTTAACTCTGTTATTTTTTCCTGAGGGTCAGTTGTACATCCAAATAATATTATGCAATTGTGTAGAGCCCAGACTAAGAATCTTTTAATATTGTACATTTTGGTACATATTCATTGTGCACATATGAATCAGCTTTTGCCTTGTTCCTCATTTTTTTGAAACGCTAACAGGAAGCCTGGCGTACCTGCCAGTTCAGGTACCTGCGGAGGGAAAGGGAACATATTTATGTAAATGCAGATTAAAAACTACAATTTTAGGTAAATAATTTAATCTACATGGTTTTTGTCTATTATATATATGGGGTGATTAATGTTTACCTCCCAGGTGATAAGGCAGTGCATCAAGCCAAAGAAGAATTGAGAACAAAAAACTTTATCACAACGATGTTCGAACTCTGACATATCTATTCCTACCTGATGTAGATTAATGTTTGAAACTGTAGTGCTATCTTGCAGCAATCTGATTAAAGGATGCTGTGTTATATATAATGGAAAATGATGATGCATTTATTTTACACTGGTTCCTAGACGAATTTATGCCAGACAACTTACAACGTTACAAACTAGTGATATTTCTGAGCAAAGCATTTGTCAGGACAGGCAAACTTTACTTTGGTTACCAAATAAAATAATTGCTGAAGTATTACAATGAGTGCCACAGAAGCTAAAGAAGAATGCACATCCAGAAAATGCAAGAAACTCTTGATATCAGAAAAGGAAGGCAGGAAAAATATGTGCAGTACTGGAATATGGGAAGAGCCGTAGTCATCTTAGAGAAAACAGTAGTATCTGATGTGAAAACCAACTTTTCCATTAGAATTTCTAATTGTTTCATCAGTTTTGCTGTCACAACTGAATTTGGAAATTTTACAGGTATGCCGGCATCTTTTTAACTAAGCTCTCTTCTCAATGTGATTTTTTATCATTTTCCATCTTGGGATTTATAGCATCATGTAACTTTTGCTTCAAAGTTTAGGCCTAAGGATCTATCAACTACAGCAATATTTATATTGGTAAAAAGTACATGCTTTACATAATTATAGGTTTTGCTGTCTGTAAAAATATATATTTAACTTGGAAAATGAGACTTATGGCCAAAAATATCTTATATGGATAGGGTGACCAGACGTCCCGCATCTGGCGGGACAGGCACGCCTTTTCATAATTTTTCCCGCGTCCCGGGCCGTTCTAGAAAACCCCCGCTTTATTTTGGGGCTCGCTCGCTCCCCCGCCCATCAGCTGCCGCTAGCTCGCTCATTAGTTCCCCCATCTATTTCTAAAAATCTAAGCCAGCCCAGCCTGCCGCTCACTGATTGGCTGGAATCCGCTTAGCACGCCGCATGAGTCGCAGGAGTCTCCATTTCATTTCGCCTTCACGGCCGTTTGCTTTGTTTTGCTGCTTCACTGGTGAATAAACCGGCCTTTAGTAACCTGCGTGGGGTTAGTGAAACAGCCGCCGCCACCCTCCTCCCCTTCCCTGTGTGCAAGAAAGGCGCCCGCTCGCCAGCCCGCTCACCCTTGGGCTCTGGGGGCAGCACCTTCCCAGCTCCGCCGCTGCCACGCTGCTTCCTTCGCGCCCTGCGGAGTTTTCCCTGTGTCTCCCAGGTTGCCCCTTCCCTGTGTGCGAGAAAGGCGCCCGCTCGCCAGCCCGCTCACCCTTGGGCTCTGGGGGCAGCACCTTCCCAGCTCCGCCGCTGCCGCACTGCTTCCTTCGTGCCCTGCGGAATTTTCCCCGTGTCTCCCAGGTCGTGCCTGTCCTGTGTGCGAGAAACTCCACAGGGCGTGAAGGAAGCAGCGCGGCAGCGGTGGCGCTGGGGAGGTGCTGCCCCCGGAGCCCAAGGGTGGGTGGGCGGACTAGTGAGCGGGCGCCTTTCCCTGTGTCTCCCAGGTTGCACCCATCCTGTGTGCGAGAAAGGCACCCGCTCGCCAGCCCGCTCATCCTTGGGCTCCGGGAGCAGCACCTTCCCAGCGCCACCGCTGCTGCGCTGCTTCCTTTGTGCCCTGTGGAGTTTTCCCTGTGTCTCCCAGGTCACGCCCGTCCTGTGTGCGAGAAACTCCGCAGGGCGCGAAGGAAGCAGCGCGGCAGCGGCAGCGCTGGGGAGGTGCTGCCCCCGGAGCCCAAGGGTGGGTGGGCAGACTGGCGAGCAGGTGCCTTTCCCTGTGTCTCCCCCAGGTTGAGCCTGTCCTGTGTGCGAGAAAGCCATCCGGGGCGGCTTTCCCAGCCTCCTTTCTGTGCCCCTGCCCCAGTTCCACCTCCTCCGCCTGGCGGCCAAAGGGAGGGAAAGACGGGAGAAAGAGCGAAGGCAACGATGGCGCTGCTCTTCTCCGCCCTCCGTGTGGTGTTGGGCCTTTTTTTCACCGTCAGCGGGGGATCGCCGGAGACGCCCACCGGCAGATGGTGAGTGGGGCGCCTCCGAGACGGGAGGGGAAACTAGTCCGGGCGCAGAATTAGGGAAGGGAGGGAGGGCAGCGCTAATGGATGCTCTTTCTCCGTCGCGATCTCCTCTTTTGATCTGTGACCACGAGCAATTCCTATTGGCCGTTTCCTTTGTGACAGCTTAGTTTCCGTATTTTAAGAGAGACCGGAGATCGCGGGGTTTCTTGTATGCATGCTGCAAGGAGAGGCAGAAGCCAAGAAGAGCCCGGTCACCGGGGATGGGGACAGCTCTCCGCTAGACTTGCTGCCAAACTGGACGGGGAAAGGGGAAAGCTGTTCCCACTAGCCGAAGTCAGAACCATGCTGTGACCAAAGTTTGGAGAAAAATGGTTTTGTGTGTGTGTGTGTGTTTGATTGAGCGAGGGATCCGGTAAGGGAACTGCGTCTATTTAGAAAAGGTAAATTATTGCAAACATGATCAGTCGAAGATAAGTGTGGGCACAGGTTGGGTGGTAGAGAGAAAGTGATAAAAGAGTGGGAGAAAGGAAGAAAAAAGAGGGGAGAGAAACAGAAAGAGACAGAGAAAGAGAGAGAAAGTGACAGAAGAGTGGGAAAGAAGGAGAGAGAAAGAAAGAAAAGGAAAGAGGGTAAGAGAGAGAGAGAAAGAGACAGAGGAGGGAAAAGGGAGAAGGAGAGAGAAAGTGATAGAAGAATGGAAAAGGAGGAGAAAGAGAAGAGAGACAAAGAGAAAGAGGGTGAGAGAGAGAAAGAAACAAAGAGGAGAGAGAAAGGAGAAGGAGAGAGAAAGTGACAGAAGAATGGAAAAGAAGGAGAGAGAAAGAGAAGAGAGACAAAGAGAAAGAGGATGAGAGACAGAAAGAGACAAAGAGGAGAGAGAAGGGAGAAAGAAAGAATAAGTGAAGGAAGAATGGAAAAGAAGGAGAAAGAGAAGAGAGACAAAGAGAAAGAGGATGAGAGAGACAGAGAAGGGGGGAAGAGGAAAGAGTAGGAGAGAACATCTCATTTCAACCCTGAGGTGCAAATATTCTCTTTGATTGGTAATTTTATTTGCCCATTTACTATCCAATTCTCTCATTTCTCCTTAAGTTCATGAAGAATTCCCTTCTTTTTATTGAATTTATCACAATACCTTGAGAACAACTTTTTCAGCATAGCTTTACAGCTATTTAAAATATATAGTAATTTAGGTCAGGTTTTCAGAACATTAGTCTATTTATAAGTCAATGGTTGCGACCATTTTTCACACTTAGTGACCGTTGCAGCATCCTCATGGTCACGTGATCACAATTTTGTTTGGCAACAGATTCGTATTTATGCTGGTTTCAGTGTCCTGGGGTGACCTTTTGACAAAATATAAAATTTTTAATCAAGCCCACCCCCCCATCAATGGTGTCCCTCTTTACCAATCTGAAAATCTGGTCACCTTATATATGGACTAATCAGACAAGCAAAGCCTTACATCACAGCTACAGTACAATGTACACATAAAAGGAGCTCTTTTGGACTCCCTGTAGATATGCTCAGATCACGTTGTGCATTCTTTTGTAAATATGACAAGTATGAAGAGCAAATTTGCTCTGTCAAAATATTCTAACTTGAATCTCAGTTAAAATAGAGATTTGCATCACCAGTGCAAGATTCAGGTCCAACTTGGCAATTCAATTTTAACTTAATTTTAACTGGCTGCCAGGTTATAAACTCTAGGTCTGAGTCAAAAATGAAATTTCCACTTATTAGTCTTCTGACTGATCAACAGCCACAGAACTTTAATGAACTCTGCTATAAAAGTACAGGTTTTTCAAATTTGGCCCTCTATTTTTGCCTATATTAACCAAGATTACTACAACTAGTTCTAACAAAATTCTAGGAATATTGAATATGTGACTTCAGATATGGACATTTTAAGATTGCCTATGCAATGTAGCACACATACACACACACCTATGTTTGGGGAGGAAGTTGGCTTTATTTTTCTATTTTCCTTTTTAAAAACTACTCCTTTTTTAGTTTGCCATATTAAATTAAAAAAGGGATAAAAACTGATGAAAACAAATCTTAGATGTCATTGTCATAATCCGCAATTAGCTGTTTTATTTTCTGAATGAGTGAATGAGTTAATTATATGTGGAAAATTGGTTAATCCTCTCAGGAATCATTTTTGTCACTTGGTAAAATTATGTAGGTCTTACAAAGTACATGAAAACAACCACTAGTAAACATGCAGTGAGGAATTAGCAAGACTACATGACATATAGTATTTGTGAGGTTGTTTGTGAACTTTTTTTTTAAGTTTAGTCTTTATGATTTGTGAGGTAATCTATACACACAGAGCATTTTTCATTCATATATCTTCCTGCAAGTCAATATGGTTGGCAAGAATGCATACAGCAGCAGCTTTTCTCTTTGTGGAGAATGGCAGCCCCCTTGGGCTTAGGCTGGTGCCCTGCTCTGCTGCAACATTGGGATTATTGTATATTGTTTCTGGACAATAATGAATCAATTACTTGAGTCCTTCAGGTGACATATTATTGACAATATGGGGATGAATCATCTACATGGACAATACAAGACTGTAGTATATACCCACTTGATTGAAATATATCTATTATACAATGCTTGAGCAAGCACTGGCAAAGTAAATTAACAACTTCAGAGTAGGATGCTCAGGAAAGCTCACCGAGTGAAGTGGTAATATTGGAAAGAAGACCATGATCTGTTAAAAAATCAGTTAAAAGCAATTTATAGTAACCTGATGTTAACTCTAGTGAAGTAAAGAATTGTAGCAACTGAAAAAAATATGTAACTTAGAATTGAACTGTGGAGTCCTTGGTGCTCTTTGAGCTTGATTCTTGTTACAATGTAGATATTTTGTCACCCAGCTAGGTAACATCTTCGGTACTGGAAAGGTACTGAAACATCTGGAAGAAAACAGATATTTTCAGACTCCCGAACTGTCATTTAGCTGTCCATATAGATAAATCATTTCTAAATAACCTTAATCACAATGTAGGATTGATTTTAAACCAGTTTGGCAAGAAGAAAGTACTAGGCTAGTAAGAAATAAAGCCTTTACTTGGGTTGAGACTAGGATATTTATATACTGTTAATTGGAAGAAGTACAGAATTACTTCTTTGAATTGACACAAAAAGCCAGGCACAGAGTATTTAAAGAATGCTGTTGCTGAGATATGTTGGAAATGGTTGAATTGACATTGCAGGACAATTAGATGAATATATTATTTGAAACATAATATTAATTACATTAGAGAGGTTGGTAAACCTCACCCAAGTGCTAGTAAGTGCTCAGTGAAAGGTTGCAGCATAAAGAGACAAAACTATTGATTTCTCAAAACATAGCCTGGGGAAAGTAGTATCAGTATATATAATTGATACTCTTTCAAATTCAAACTTCTTAGCTTTCAAAAGAAATTTTTGATGATAACCAGATACTGTAATTACAAGACTATTCCAGAATATTCAGAATCCTACAAAACTTGATCTGAACTATAGCCTTCAGGAATAACTTAAGATATTGGAAATAAATATTGGAATTGTATGGTAAGCATTAAGGTAGTGTGATATGAAAGGCAAATCCACAGTTGCCTGAACAGATACTGTAATGATTGTCTGTTCAGGACAAATGATACAAACAATTTTTTTTGGTTCACATAGTAATTATCTTAAATTGATGATGGATAAATTAATGAATGCTAGACTTCACACAGTGACATTTGTCCTGAATAGGTGGATAGGTATGTCAATAACATATGGTAAAATTTAAAGCTTTGGTGGCAGAAATGTTACATGCCTGATAAGAAATGGCTGAACTATTTTCCAGTAAGCTTATTTCCCTTTATATATATTTTTAGCCGCAAAACATTTTGCTATCTTGTGAATCACCATTGGGAGAAATTCGGATAGTTGATTTTGGACTTTCCAGAGTACTGAAAACTAATGAAGAACTAAGAGAAATTATGGGAACACCTGAATATGTTGGTATGTTTGTTATTTATGTGATCTTCAAAGCCAATAGCTTGCAGCATATAATGCAAACATTTGAGTTATATATTTATCAGAATTTAAGCTTTGAATGTTTCAGATCTTACAATAATCAATTTCTATTCCAATAGAAAACCAGAATAACAAATAAAAGCTTTTCACTATTTCTGTGAACATAACCTGCATTCATATTGTTTAAATTACATTTGAATCTTGCAGCAGGGCTACAAAGCAGATTTTCCAGTCATCCCAAGATAACAATATCAATAATACTTAGACTTATATAATGTTCTATAGCATTTTACAGCATTCTCTGGGCAGTTTACAACATTAACATATTGTCCCCCACAATCTCGATCCTCATTTTGCTGAAGGATGGAAGGCTGAGTCAGGATTGAACTCTAGAATATGGGCAGAGTTAGCCTGCAATACTGCATTCTAATCACTGCACAACCAGGGTTCTTATAAGATAGCTCCTCTAATTCTGTGAAAATGCTTTGCAGAATGTTGAAAGCATTTTATCTGCTTATAAAGTAGCTATATAGGGAAGGAGATTCATACAGAATCAAGTAATGGCACCTTCACTAGCACCCATTCTTGGAAATTTGACTTTTTTGAGACTCTCCTTAACACAATATTCCCAATACTATATTTCTTAGAAATCTCAAAAAAGATAGTAAAATACTATTCAGCCACGATCACAATAAAGAAATAATTAGGTTTTAATATATTTTTTCCAGAAGGCAATTCTTTTATTTTTTTAATATTCAAAATTTATTACATGTTTGATGATTTGTATACAATTTGCCTTTGAATCTAAATAAAATTTGATTAGCATGTTACACTTCAAATTACATCTCCAAATGAAGTTTATCTATTTTCCAGTAGAGATGGTGGGAGGGGCTACAGTTGGGTTTTGTCAAAGCCTGATTGGTCCAAAGACTGAGGGAAATTTCTTTAAGTATCCTCTTTTCCCTGTTGGCTCCCAGTTTCCTCTCAGTCTTTGGCCAAACACTGCTTTGGCTTCTTGAGGAAATTGTTGGAATAGTGTTCTTTCTCTTCAATCTGACTAATTGGAATCCTGTTCTAAAATTGCAAAATTCACTGCTGCGGGCCTTAGAGATTGGGCAATCCATCTTGCAGAGAGGTAGGAGTACTCCTCCGGCATTTTTGTCTCTTACCTTCTGGCCCCAGAACCCGGTCCGATCCCTGGCAAGCGGGGCTGACAGGCTCCTTCCAGGCAGCTTTCCAGGAGCGGCTGCAAGCCAATGGAGGAGGCAGTCGAGTCATCAGCTCTTTCGCACCTTCAGAGGCGAGCCGCGGCTTGAGAATTGGCACGCGGCTTGTGAAGCTGTCAAAAGTTACTGATGCTGAAGCGAGCCATGGGAGATTGGCGTGTGGCTCCTTTTTAAGTCTAGGAAGCGAGCCACGGCTTGGAAGCTGGCTTGTGGCTTGCCAAGCCTCCAGCAAGGTCCTGTAAAGACTAGGAAATGTGCCGTGGCTGGGAATTTGGCTCATGGCTCACGGACTCCCCAGCCGTCATCCAACATCGTGGTGGCCATTTTGTCCACTCCACATGGAGGTGGCCATTTTGGGAAGCCAATTCCCATTTTGCCCTATACGGCAGCACCATCAAGGTCAGCAGGCCACCCAGGCAGCAGCGTTTGAAGCTCTCAAGGGCTGCAATGTCGGCAGGCGCACCAGAGGCCTCTTACACCTCAGAACCAACTTCATGCTTCATGGCCACTAATCAAGACTGGCAGGCCCTCATGCGACCGCCGCTGGTACTTCGGATACATGAGTGCTTCATGGCCACGTCTAGGCCCAATGCACTGAAGGCCTCCCCAGAGACCCAGGGTGAACCCAGGGAGCAGGAGCATGATAGGTCCAGCCGGCCATTGCCCCACTAGAGCCACAATGAGATAAGCTTAGATGACAAAAAGCATTGGAAAAGAGGATTTCCAGGGCCGAAAAGCAGGCCCAGAATGCAAGGCCCAGCAGATCTAGATCTCCCATCAGACCCAGTTTACTTCAATCTGGCTCTCCTTTCAGGGGCTTCAACCCCTCTTCTCCCTCTATCTCTCCTGCTACATCGAACTGGCAGGCTAGACATGCAGTTTCTCCATCTCCATCTGTCTCCCCGAGGGCGGTCAGGGATGTTGGGGAAGACCCCCCTCGGACCCAGTTTACTTCAATCTGGCTCTCCTCCCAGCGGTTTCAGCCCCTCTTCTCCTTCTGTCTCTCTGAGGACTGTTGGGGAAGACCCCCTAGAAGGCACCTCCAGGAATTTCCTGCCAGCTGCTAGCCGTACTCCCCAAGGGCAGTCCTTGCCAGGGCCGTCTGAAGAGGAGCTTGACGACCTGGATCTCCTCCCTGAAAGCATCAAGAGTCTCATTTCTTTGCCCATCACTAAGAGCATTGCAACTGGTCTTTCCCAGAAGAAGGTCACAGCCCAGGGATTAGCAGGCCACACATAGGTCATCAGGCTAGATGTTCTACCTCTAGCACCCGCATGTGGGAGGCCTCTCAATCTCCATCCCCGTCTGTGGTCAGTGAAGGGTCCATCCTGGGGGAGGATGCTCAGCAGGATATGGGGTTTTTAGAGGATGAGGACCGTGGTGATGGTCACCCTGTCCGGCTCCCAGAAGCAGCAGCCCCGCTGAATGGCCGGGGAGAGCCACCACGCCAGAGAGACCCGGACCCCCACCGGGAGACGGAGAGTCTGAAGAGAATTGCTCAATCGTCCCCTCTGAAAGGGGATGAGTTCCCACTGGAGGGGCCTGAGATGAAGCCTGGTCCACGGGACAATCCGGACCATCTTGCCCAATAACTGTGACAGAGAGAGGATGGAAGTGGACCGTCTTGCGTGAACGCCTTCCGCCAGAAGACGGAGGCTGTCCTGCCGTTCCTGAGACAGACTCACCACCCCCGACTTGGAATCTATGACTGTCCCCAGGTGCAGAATGCGAGTGGAGGGGGAAAGATGGCTCTTGGCGAAGTTCACTGAAAAGCCCAGGCCTTGAAGGCTCCAAATGATGAGCCGAAGATCCGAGACGGCCTGAGGAAGGGACCCCGCCTGAACCAAGACATTGTCTAAATAACACTGGAGACGAACCGGGACAGACCGCAGATGAGCCGCCAGAGCCGCCAGAACCTTCGTGAAGGTCCGTGGGGCCGAGGCCAGGCCGAAGGGCAGAGCCCTGTACTGGTAGTGACGGGACCCGTGAGAGAACCTCAAGAACTGGGCAGGATGGGAATGTGAAGATAGGCCTCCATGAGATCCACGGAGGCCAGGAAGTCCCCCTTCCTGATGCCCTGAAGGATAGATTTGAGGGATGACATTTTGAAGCGTCTGTACACCAGAAACCTGTTCAGGCGCTTGAGGTCTAGAATCGCCCTCCAGCCCCCCGTGCTCTTCGGAACCACAAAGAGGTTGGAGTAGTGGCCCAGGCCTCGTTCCCCTAGAGGAACCGCCTCCACTGCCCGAATGTCAAGAAGGTGGGCGATTGCCTGATCCATCAGGCAGTGGCGCTCCCGACTCTGAGACGGAGGGAACGACCGGAAGAGGTTTGGAGGAGTAGAGAGAAATTCTAACCCAAGACCGTGACGAACCGTGGCTCGGACCCAAGCGTCCGACGTGATCTCATCCCATTGATCCACATAGAGGGAGAGGCGGCCGCCGATGGGACGATTCGGGTTCAAGTCACTTCCCCCTGCGGAAGGGACGACCGCCTTCCCCACGAAAGGGCCGCCTGGAGTGGCCCTGGAATCGATTCCTGTCCTGAAAGGACGACCCAGAGAATTGCCTATCAGTTGGGAAAGAAGGAAAGCGTTGGTTATAGCCGTAATCTGTAGCCCTATACCTTTGTCTACGGAACGGGTGAGACTTAGCCTCGGGTTTCTTAGCATTAGTGGGAAGGACCTTCTTCTTGTCCTTGTCCTCAACCAAGATGGGGACGAGAGCCTCCCTGAAAAGATTGGGCCCCTTGAAAGGGGCGGCTGCCAAATCCCACTTAGCCATGTTATCCATCTGCTAGTGGCGTAGCCAAAGAAGCCTACGTGAGGTAACAGAGGTGGCTAAGACACTGGACGCAAACTTTACCATGTCCAGGGTCGCATCAGCGGAGAACTGGCAAGCCGCCATGATCTTAAAGAGATCCTGGTGGATCCGCTCGTCCTGGATGGGAATGCGCTCCTGAAGCTTCTTAAGCCACATGACAGTGGCACGGTTAAAGTAAGAGGCCGAGGCTGTGGACTTGATAGCCCACGCAGTGGCATTAAAATTCTTCCGCAAAGTAAGCTCAGTACACTTATCCTCCGGCTTCATCTTATCCGCCGCATCGCCTGAAACCACCGGAGAGGAGGAAACTAGGGCGGCCACTGGGGTGTCAATGGCAGGCAATTGAATGGCCTGGGCAAAGGTCTGCTCCACGTTATAGTGCCGGCAGTCATTACTCCCTGGAGCAGAGAAATTGGAGGGGCGAGCCCATTGATCGGTCAAGACCTCCAAAAACAGGAGAGGAGCTGGAATTTCCTCCTTGTTAGTTGCCATGGCGGAGAACATGGCCATGTCAGGATCTCTAGGCAGGGGCACCGAGGGGTCCCCCGTTCCAACCTTGGTGGTCTGCCTCGCCTTATCCAAGAGGATCTTGAACATGGCTGGAACAAAGAGGCCCTTAGATGTGGGC